GCCTTGCCCCTGCCCCTGTGTGATGTGAATGTACCACATATTGCCATAGTGGAAACTTACAGCTAAAAGTGGCAAAGCAGAAACAGCCACACCCACAAAAAAATACATTTGTCACTCAAGGTCAACGCTGTCTGGGGATTAAGGAAGGTGTAGTCTGACAAATCTGGAGGGTAATATGACAGCCTTTCCCAACCTGGACCCACCAGACTCACCAAACTAAAACTTCCATAATCCCCAGCCAGCACTGGCCATATGACAAAAGTATGAAACTCTGGGACGATTGCCGAAAGAGGTTGTTAGGAAGCAGATTCTCATTCCTTCTCTCTAAGTTTCCAACAAATAGACCTGCAGATGCAGCAAATTTCATCCCCTACTTTTTTGTCACCTTGGGCATATGGAAACGACCAAGCAAGAATGATGGAAGTACCTCTGCTGCTTTTGTTCCCACTGCGATTGGGTTTTTTTTTTTTAAACCTGAGCCTCCAGCGGTGAAACTGTGAGAACCTGGATTATATGAAAATGATCCAGTAGACAAATATTTTACTAGAGCTTTCAAGATGCAGCTGGACAGCCATCTGAGAAGGATGGTTTAACTTTGGGAATGGCACTGGGCAGCAGGTTGGACCTGACGGCCTTCTCACCCCTTCCAACTTTACTTTTCTCTGATTCTCTGATTTCCATAAGCAACATTTGTTTGGAGAGCACTGCCAGCAGCCTTCCTCATACATGCCAGTTAAAGAGTGGGACTCAGGGAGACCCTGGGTACAGGGCAGTGTCATATCAATCCACTGCATGATGTGATAAGACTAGAGAAAGTGGACACAGACGTTTGTCTCCCTCACTCATAAGGCTAGAATTCAGGATTATCCACTTGCGCCATCTGGCCGAGATTCAGAGAAGAATGGAATGCTTATTCTCAAATGCATAATTTGTCTGGGGAAAGCACTGCCACAAGATGTGGAAATGGCTACTGGCTAACACAGTTTTACAAGGGCAACCAAGGAGAAAAAGTCTATGAGAAATCTACTTCTTATGAGAGCTGTACGGAAACATGTTCAGAAGCAGGATCCTGGAGAAGCACAACTGGACTGGACCACTGCCTTTATAGTCTGCTTGTGAGCTGTCCAGAAATGGTTCCCTAAGGGAACCCCAGAGAACCTTGCAGCAGGACCAGCTTACCTCCCCCTGCTGTAACTCTGAGGCTTCAAAAGGGGTTCTAGCAAGTGTATTTCTCCAGTTGTACCTCAGGCAAGTAAGTGTTCCTCACTTTTCCAGTAGTTCCCCATTTGGGCAGTTGACACTGGCAGGTGCCCAGGCTAGTTTTGCAAGTATGGCAAGGGATTTTTACTGTTCTTTCCAATCAGGTCAATGACCAGTTAACAATACCCATGGTGGAGTCAGTCAACGTGAAAATGTATTGTGGTCACAAGAAGCCACACAGTTTGCCAAGGAGGCTTGCTTCCTTCAAACAAATCACACAGAAGGAATCAATATGGATTTGCACAACTCAGTAACCCACCATCACTTGTCAGCCTTGCCAATTCACTGTGTGACACTGACAGCTGTTGGGGCTTGGAAAAATCTGTATTTTTTTACTTCTTTATTGAAGGAGTTATTTCTTGAATTTATTAAAATTTATTCAAGGAGTTATTACAAAATGTCCTATGAGTCTATTGGCCTCCTACCCCTTAAACAGTCACATAAAATGCAGAAATTCAAGAGGCAGCATTTTTCCTGAGAGCCTATAGTCACTGAAATAGTTTTACCTGTTGAATTTCTGCATGATGGGGACACTGTAAGTCACAGCATCCTAGGAAAAAAGTCTAGTAATCCTATAATACAATTATGCACGGATCACAGGAATGAGCCCCTGTAAACCATCCATGAATTTCTCCTCATATTATTGGAAAATTCGTATCAAGGCTTGAATGTATAAGCAGGATGAGAACGGACTATTAAGCAAAAGTAGTCATATAGTTCACTCCGTGTGCTTCATTTCACCTGAACAATCAAGATAAGCATTGCTTCAGGAAAACCTGGAAACATCTCTTCAGTGTACACACACCGTGCTCAGGAAAGCTACTAGTGTTTGTTCAGAACCACAATGGGATAGCCAAGGTTGCCATTCATGAATATTTGCTAGACAGTCTTTCAGCATTGTCTCAGACACTTGTTCTACTTGAATGATCCTCTATATGTCTACTCAGAAGTACGCTTTATTATGTTCAGTGGGTCATGCATCTAGATTACAGCCTGAGCCTCTTTTGGAGAGAGTGTTTTATGTTCAGTTCTGGCTGCCTTACCTCAAAAATGACATTATTGAGTTGAAAAAGAGATGATGAGCTGGAGAAGCTCCCCTTTGAGGGGTGGCTACAACAAGCAGGACTGTTTAGCTTAGAAAAAGGAGGACTAAGGGGAGAAATGATGGAGGGTGTTTAAAATAATGAATGGTATGGAACAAGAAGAGAGGGAGTCATTTCCCCCTCTTCCATAAGACCTGAATCACTTCATCCCATGAAACTGATGGGTGAGAGGTTTAGAACAGATAAAAGGAAGTACTTCTTCACTCAGCATATAGTTAAACTATGGAATTTGCTGCCACAGGAAGTGGTGATGGCTGCCAATCTGAGTGGCTTTAAAAAGGGATTGGACAGATTCATAGAGGAGGCAGCTATCAGTGACTACCAGCCTTTACCAGAGGTGTCATGGCTGCATACACCAGTTGCCAAAGAGCTTGGGCAGGTGGAGCTCTTGCACTCATCCTGCTTGAGGGATCCTGTGGGCAGTTAGTTTCCCACTTTGCAGAGAGTGCAAGACTAGATAGACCCTGGCTCTGATCCAGGATGGCGTTTCTTATGTTCTTATGAAATCAACTTCTTTAAAACCTTTCACATGCTCAGCTATATATTTTATGACATTCATATCTCTCCGTTTCTCCTTCAAGAAGCTCAAGGCGGTTTGCATAATTTTTTCTTTCTTCCAATCTTATTGGCACAACAGTGCTCTGAGTCATGAAAGAGGGCGATCCATGGCCCTTACATAGTGCCTAGCAGGCAGTAATATTCTTCTGATTCCCAGCTCTGACATCACAAAAGAGCTCAGTCTTAGAGCTGGGAATCTGCACTTCAGTCCACCCTGCCCACCACCAGCCGGCGTGAAAAGAGCCACACTAATCATTCACTGAGGTTAAAAGAACAACCTTGGAGAAAGAGTACAGGGGGTGCTCTGGTGGGAGGGGAGAAGAACAGGTTCAGCAGGATATGATGGAACCTTGATGATCTGCGGCAAAGCACTGCCTCAGATGACTGAAATTGGCCACCAAGCTGGCTTTCAGGGCAAGAGGAGTGTGGAGGTGAAGAATGCCTCTTGCTCCTCCTACTGCCTGTAGCCAAAGCTTTCTGGGTGGTTCACAACTTTTAAGTCACCCACCCAGATTTCAGCAAGGCCCAACCCTGTTTAGATTCCAAGATAAGCAGGATCATGCACTTCAGGCTAAGCGGAATCCTCCAGATCTGCAGCTTACAACCATCCCCACTGGACTGTGCCCTGACCTTATCTTTAAATCCTGCACCTGGATTCAAAAACACTTATAGCTCCCAAACTTTGCAATATTTGCATCCAGAGTTTAGATTAAACACAATCTATACTATTTGTCCAACAGCTTTTCAAACACTTAGTAACTGGAAAGAAAGCTCCACAGTCTTGTAAAAATATTGACATGTGTGCTAAATAGTTAACTCTGAGTGGGATGGGTCAGAAGGACGTTGCACAACACCCGGCTCAGTTGTGAAGGTCACTGGGCAAGTTGTTGCCTGAACCAACTTACTTTGCGGGATTGTTGTGAAGATAAGAAAGCAAGTGGGGAACTCAAACATGATGGATCAGTAAATTAAATCAAAGTGTCTTACCAATAAGCAAGTGAAGGGTGCTCTTGCAGAGTCTTAGTAGGAAAAGCAGGCAAGTTCTTTAGATCTTTTCTTGCATTTTCATCACTTTAAAAAGCACAAAAAGAATGGTAGAGTGTCACTATCAAGAAATCACTAAGAGTTGTGGCCACTCAAAAGCAGGTTCATTCAAGGCATATTCCAGCTGTCATAGCAACGTAACCCTATCAGCCTTCTTGCATGACAGTTCTGAACAAAAGAAGTTCACTTACATTATTATTCTGATTAGAAACACAGAGCTGTTGAGTAAATCCAGTAGGCTGAGGAGAAAGAAGCAGCTGTAACTTTTTGCTAATTGCTAAGGCTGAATGAAGGCTGTTGTTGAGTTACATATTCTGGTTTAACCAGCTGATAAAGGGGCCTCTATGATATCTAACATGAAAAATGTGGATTCTTAGGGAAAAATTGACTAAAAACAGTTATAATAAAAAGAAAAAACAAAGAAATAGGGGGCAAGAAAAAAGGTTTTTTCCTCAGTGCAATCCTGTGCACGTCTACTCAGAAGCAATTCCTACTGAGTTCAATGAAACTTCCTCCCTCCCAAAATAGGTATAAGACTGACAGCTAAAAGAAGTTGCAGCTTGCCCTGAGATTGAAGATTTGGGAAGAATGCCATTTAATTATGTAAAAAAGACAAAAAGGCTTCTGTGGTTGTGGGCAAAAAAGAAAGGAAAAAAGTGGGCAACACTTTCTGGGTATAACACTTAATTAGGCCAATCAATTTCTGCAGGATTTCTTCATGGGTTGGCACAGATCAGCAAGTACCAGCATGACTTCTCTGTACTGAGGATTCTCTGAGCTGGCTGAGTCATGATTAACATATGTCTCTGCTTCTGGATGGCACAGACTGCTGTGTGACTTCTTACACAAGGGGCCTAATTCATGTTCAAGATGAAGCTGGAGAGCTCCCTGAATCCTTAAATAATTTGGCACAAGAAAAAATACACTTCTGTCTTACGTTCTGTGCAAAATTTCCTTGCAGGCAAGAGTCTGCCTACAAAGCATGTGGCATTTCCAAAGAACACAAGAATACAGCATTAAGCTGTGGCTTCCAAACGCCTCATGCCAACACAGAGGCAGAAGCATCTTTCACAGAACTGCAAAATTCAACAAAAATCAAATAAATACAATGCCATCACTCCAATGACCCTTTCATTCATGGAAGAACTCCTTCCATTTCCAGAACTGGGTCCAATCCAGCCAGTAGAAGGGGGACAAAAACCATTTTTGCCATGTTTCCTTCCCTGGCAACTGCCATGCCACTGAGGGTTCCCCAACACTGCAGAGCAAATTTTCAGGATATGCATGGGGAAGGGAGAGTGAGGGAAAAATGCCTACCCCACAGTCCTGCAGCAGAAGCAACAAGGAAGTAGACTTCTACTCACAAGACCTTATCATCCTAGCTGTGCACAAAAAATATGTATAAATGTGTATGGGTGCATGCAAACATATATTGCATATGCATGCACAAACAGAAATACACCCAAAAGTCTATTTAAAAATAGCAAAAATATGTTATTCCAGTCCCAAACCCTTACAATGTGTTTTCTGATCAGTAATAAAATAAAACCAGCTCTCGAAAGAATCTTTCGGGCATGTCAAAAGCTCTGAGCAGGCCCATTGCTGAGATATTGATGTTTCAGACAAAAAGCCAAGTTATAGGGTGAGTTTCCTGGGGGTGTGGCAAGTTAAGGGAAAACAGCTTCTCCTAAGCTCAGGTGGGGTCATCTATTAAGCTCTGTATCTATGAGCAAAGATAATCCAGAGAGCTATCGCAAAACATCTAATATTGCACAGAAGCGTTATGAGCTGTTCACTTGTGCTTGTTTATCACTTGATGACTGCAGTATCACATATCTTGTACTTCTGAATGGGCTGTCACAGCTATAGCATCACAGACAGAACTTCTGCATCTTGGCACATCATTTCACTATAAAAAACATTTCAATGGATTCCACTGACACATTCAGATGGCAGTATTCCAGTGAGCAATCAAGTTTATGCTTGGATGATAAAGACCACTGTCACCCAGTGTTCTGTGGGCTCCTCTGATGCCCAGGGGAGGGGGGGGGGGAGGGTTCCAATATCTGTTGCTGGTGGGATGTCCCTGAATCATTGCAAAGAGATCAAAACAGAAAAGGCCAATCCTTCATCCAGAATTAGAAAGGATACGACAAACATATTGATGGCAGCTTGCTAGTCTTCATACATTTATACCATGTCCTATCACTTCAAGCGCTCAGGACGGCTTACAAGATATAAAAATACAATAAATATAAAACTACTATGTAAAACATTAATTATTAAAACAATATAAAACACATCATAATGTTCCTCCATAATGGCTTAGTACTAAAACCTAAAAACATTCACAATGCACTCAGGAAATTCTAGGGTAGCCAATTTTCCCATTTAAGAACCACTGGGAAAAAACCCACAGAGAACACCTCTGCACTGTGAATAAATAAGGTGTAAACTGACACTAAGGCGTTTTCTCCTATTAAAGAAATTCAGGTTTGGGGATTATAGACTCACTGAGCCAGAAGAATTGCAGGATCAACTGCCTTCAGTCTCTTGCCCTTAATGCAAGATCAATCCACCATGACCCAGTTTACTGTGTTTGACATACAAAGCATACCAAGTGAACAAGGAACATTGTGTCTGGGTAGCTACAGGCCAAGCTTCATTTTCTAGTAAAATAATCCACAAGGAGTAGCATGCTGCAAGTGAAGGCAAAAATCTCCCAATGTCACTAATCAATGTGACCTAAGGTAAAGCCTTCTTCTAACACCAGATAAAATGTTTGTAACAACACAGGCACAACGCTGGAAGCTGTAACCTGTATATAATTTTGCTAACCAGCAGAAATTCAAACTCATCCCTAGCAGTTATCTATTATCACCTCTGCTTAGCCCAGGTTGGATCCCATTGCTCATCTGCAATTCAGATCACCACTTCATACATTTTCAGCCTGATTTTAACAATGGAACATTTCATTTTAGGAATTAAACACTAAAAATTGCCAAGGAATTTACCAAGTTACTATATTGCTATATGTATAAGGCACCCACAGTTCATAGTCAGCCTTCCCCATCTCTCAGGATGTATTGGACTACAATAACAATCCCCCGCTCCCGCCGCCTGCATTCCCATCATGGACAGAGATATTCTAGCTTAAGGATACAATCTCATGGATGTTACAACAGCATGGCTGACTGGCCATTGTACAATATTTTTCTGTCTAAATGCAACCTGACTCATTTAAGAATCTTAGCTCCTTTACAGTACCATCCTGTACATATCTACTCAGAAGTACTCTCTTACTGTGCCTTGTAGGGGTTTCACAAAAACATTGATGCTATTTGTTCGCTATCAAATTCTTTTCTCAAAAGGAGCTTAAACATTATTTTGAAAACCGGGTTGCTATTTGGATTTTCAAAAAGGAATCCTAAATGAGTAAATGATATTTTTTGCTAACACATCTTGGCACAAATAGAAAATTGTCAGGTAAATGCATGTTAACTCCCTATCATTCTAAGGTTAACTCCCTCTAGGTGCAGTCTATGCAAGGCTAGACAGGTGGAGCATGCTGGAGCCACAGGTGTTTCTCTATGCAAACTTGCATAGGATTGCACCTTAAAAGCAAACAAACCAAGAAATAAATAAAATAAGCCACCTTTATGTGTCAATCTAGTCCCAGATGCATACCTACATTGGATAGTGTTAGCCTAGGTCTCTAATACCAGTACATTTCTGACTTAGGGTACAATCCTATGTAAGCTTAGATGGGAAAAGAACCCTGCAATTCCCAACCTGCTCCAGCGTTTCTCCCCTGTCTTAACACACATAGGACTGTGCCCCTAAGTATTCTTCCATAAGCAGTTTAATTGTTATACAGCATGTAAAGAAAGTGCTCAGGATCATCCCTCTTTATTATTAAACCAGTTTCTAAACTGATTTTAACAACTTTTCATAATGGCAATGAATGGATTTCTGAAAACTTTCATTTACCTGCCATTGTACACTTCATCGCCACGTATTAAATGGAGGGAACCAGACCACTCAAATCAGAGAAAAAAGTAATACCACTTACAAACCTGTTCTGGTGCTCCCTCTGAACTATTTGTTATTACTTTAAAATTACACAAACTGCATAACTAACTCCATTTGCTACTTCAAGTCTCTCTCTCTCTTTCTCTCTCTCCATTTATTTTACATTAGGTCACCCAGCAAATCTCACATTATGAGTATGACAAGAAGGTTCAGTTAGTCTGGAGTTTGGCAAACAGCATCGAAACATCCTCATCTTCATAAATGACACTTTCCCACCACACAGGAAAAACACATGTTGTACATGCAATTGCAATAATGTGGAATCTTGTACTCAGCTTCCCAACTCTATATAAGTTTCACCAAAGAATGTCATCCTAAAAAACTGAAAATGTTTAATCACAGAGCACATACTTTGCATGTAAAAGGTCCCAGACTCTGGCATCTCCAAGTAAGGCTGTAAAATTCCAGCCTGAAACCCTGTGGAGTCACTGCTGCCAGTCAGTGTGAATAATATTGGGCCACACAGACCAAGAGCCAGACTCAGTATACAGCAGCTTCCTATGATCCAAAGAACGGCAAGGAAGAGTCTAAGGTCTCCTGATGTTGTAGTTCCAGTAATTAATCTACAATGAAAATAAAGCTATCCAGCCCAGTAATATTGTTCACATTCATTCACATTCTACTGTATAATACAGGATAAAATAAACTGCAAGATGCTTCCCACCAGCATATTTTAAGCATGAGTCTAGGGAAATCTGATCTTAAATGTCCTGCTTTCAAATTCTTAACAGGAGAGCAACTCAGCTTAAGCCAATTTTGTATTACACGTAATAATATAAAGGAGGTGTGGCCCTGGAGGGTGCAGCACTTTGATTTAATACTCTAAAACGCATTTTAATTAGCTTTCAGACAAGCTATATTACTTTAAATGATCAAACTGAGAGTTGGCATATAGTTGGCAGTTATCCTTCGATCAGTATCCAGAAGGTACTGTA